AAAATCAGGGAAATACTCGTGAACATCGACATTTCCATGTGTAAGCCAAGTTTCAACCAAACAAAATATATTGAATTGCGTACAATACTGGATAAAACTTGCGTCATGTAAACTGCTCAATAAACCATGTACATTCCAAGACATGTAACTAATTACTTTACCCATACCTTCATTAATTTTTCCCGTGCCAGACCCCTATCTTGAAATACTAGTACCCTGTCTAACAACAGAGTCACTGGCATTGCTATAAGTATATACACACCTTTTCCCACCTTCATAGCTGACGAGCTTTTTGTAATTAACAAAGGCACGTATATTGTTTGCAATTAGTTCTTTTCTCTTTGCAAATAGTTTATTTCTGATATACCTGGTTTCTTGTGAGAAATGCTCATCAATAAAAATGTTGGTACCATGCAGTTCTTTTTTCTTTGATAGAATGTTCTGCTTATCTTTGAATCGAGCACACATTGCAATAAGCGATCTCCTACCCCAGACTCCGGTTTCAATCCTGTGAACTCTTTCAAAATCAACGCCTGTAATATTCAATTTCTCGGCTAACAATTTCTTCACTTTATCCTCTGATTGATCCCACGATTCGTTTGGCTCTTCATCTATGCCGCGAATTACAATGTTATTCCGTTTTTGACGGTCTTCCAGTTCTGACTTGTTAGGACGCTTATATCATTTTTCAGTCCACCGATAACGTCTTCCAAGTGTTCTAACTTATCCAAACGTTCTTTGTTTCCCTCAGTAGTTTGCCTCACCTCATCTACTGTCTCTTCTACTCCATTAAGCTTGGATTCCATCCTATCGATCTTCTTATCTACTAGTTTCATATCCATTTTCATGTCTTTCATATTACTTTGAATGTCCCGCAAAATTGACATCATGGCTCCATCCTCAGGTTGTTTACTGGGTGCGGATGCCGGTTGAAGAGTCCCTGACTTGGTTAATGTTGATTGCCTGGTATCGGGTCCTGGATTCAATTGTACACCGAAAAGATTCCACGTGCATTATCACCGCCAAGGGTATACTTTGCCGCGACCTTCATACTGGATGTATCACTGGTTGGCATGAGTAAATGACATGCTGGAGTCAATGAATTAGTTAACATACCATTTGTGTCTAACCAAGTATGCATATAATCAATCTCAGTAGTAATAGCATAGGTACTTAGTGTTACATAACCAAGAACAACGAGACAGCATAGACAACTGTATGCAAATCCATTTAGTGGTGACCACACTGAATATGGCGAATACTGAGGCAGACTTACGGACTTCCAAGATCTAGGATGGATAAAACCGCCAATCTTGGCCCTCCATGCATCCACATTTACACCCATTGCAGTCACCGTACCTTTACAATTCTCTGGATGGTAGATTTTTCTAGCGACCACTTATAAAATTAACGTATTTGGCAACTTTGCGGAGCTATGGTAAGAACCGTGTTCCTGTTCCAGTGCTCATCAGATTTTTGATAATAATGTATATAAAGTATAACAAAGAAGTTGAGTTAAAAGTCTGTGAAAATATTAGCGTAATGATTGGAGTGTTTGGAAATACAAGATAGGGTGAACTGCTATTAAATGAACCATGGCCACACAATCAGTAAGCAATTGAGATTGCGGTTTCACACGCCATTTTATCATATATCCGTTACATTTGTGATGATTTTAGTTCATTATTCATTTGTCAATATCTGACAGTTTAGTATTTGTAGATTTCAGTACTGAATTGAGTTCATTGTACCACTTTAATTATGGTTTTTCGTTTTGTTTAGGTGTTTTGTATATTTTATTAACTGCTTTTTAATAAATGAATCGATATGATATCTACCAAACTCACTATAAATTCACAGTTTTGGAGTGTTTTTTGATATGCCTGGGATGAAGCGACAGAAGCTGGGATGTACATCTTCTATAGTAGAGTTGAACAAGCGTCTACCCATGAGCCTTTGCGGTTTATCGTGTGTTGTTATCGTCGCTTGGGACTCAATTCCCGCCCGTGCGCAGATGACGACCCTCCCACTTTAAAACCCTCAAACCTTGGGGCATAGTAGATGTACAGGGCTGTAAAAAATCTTGATCTATCTTTTTTATTTTGACAGTTATTGCTATATAAAATGTAATGTTTCTCATCCGCCACTGACTGCCTTTCCTTCGTGGATATTACATACCCTATTTTCCTTGGAGGGATATATCCATATTTATTGTATTTATTTGGGTTGCTGAAGTGGCTGTCACTTTACGCCACCACGTGGCAATCGGAAGCAAGTTTACAGACTGCGAGATCTTGTAGTGTGATCAGCCGTTGAACCAGGAAGTACGGTGAACTTTGATCGATGAGCAGGAATAGCCACCCGGAAATGGTTCCTATGTAGCTGTGATCGTGGTTGAGTTACTAATTAAATATCTAAAGGAGTTATAGACCTTGCTAATTAGATGTGACGATTCACTAGTATTCATGGATTATCTAAATTGAAGACTGGTACACCATCACATCAATGAAAATGTGCGACACGGGTAGGTGTATATCTGTTGACCTTCTACGACCTTCTACGACGTCGTTGCAAGTTGTTTTTAATTTCCTGTGAAGTTTTTTTTTTTTTTTTTTTAATCGTGGACAGTTTTGATTTGATTGTCCTAGTTAGTGTGGTTTTTGACTTTTCGATTTAGATTCTATTGAGTGTTGGAAGAAAATGGTTTGCGCAAATTTATGAAATTAACTCGTCCTGCCGCCGAGGCAGTGGATTCATAGCCATGTTTAGTTCCAAGCATTTGTTCACAACCAATTTATAATCGTCACCAAACGGTTTTCCATTGGATACAAGTGGAATCTTTCATGAACTATTGATTCTTATCGCCTTTATTTTATGTAATTGTCTTCCTGTTCATATTGTTCTGTGTTGAAGCCACGCATATTACGTTTAACGTCATCACATGACACACGGTTTATCAAGTACACGACGTACAACTTGACCAATATAGTGGTGTTGAAATTGACATATTCGGCACCACAACATTTTGCTGAGTGATAGTTTTTGTCAATCTTTGATTACTCTCGTGGAAAAAGAGTTTGCCAATATCCTGTTATTGTGTCGCAATGTACAATGTAATGTATTTATAAAAGTCAGCATGTATGTATGGGGGTCTAAAAACTAACTCTGCGACATGATTGTGCGACTTGCCGAATGTCGATTATTGCACTCTGCAACAGAATCGCAGTGTCACTCTGCGAAGAGCACGATTCCTATTGGTTGGTGGGTCGAACAGCGCAAATCCCAATGGTCGATGTTCACCGCATGCCTCATAAAAAATTAAGTTTTAAATGGTAAGAATGGTACGGTAAAAAAAAGTGTGTAAACACTATGTACCAGCGACATGCCGCACTGTTCGGTGATCGGCAAGCACATGGAAGACAAATTGTGGGACCAAACAAATGACACATGGTTTACGGTGATTAGACACATCACACCGCTGGCTAGAAAAATTTAATAGTGTAACGTGCACATTGGTTTTGAATGCCTATTCCTGGTGTAACGTTATTGTCATCTTGGAGTTGTAAGGCTTCATTCCGACAACTATGCTCATTAGCATAGGCAGCAGTTTCAAAGCAAGTGGAACAGGAAGTACTTTTCACGCGTTCTGCAACGAATGTTGTACGTCTGCTATGACTTTGTTGAGTGCATCAAGGAAAATAATTAGTATGCAGTGAAAAAAAATCATTCACGATGTGCAACGTTTTGCCATGGCAGCAGTTCTTTGCAATCGTCTGCCTTCGTTTAGATCATAAACGAACTCAACAGTTGTGAAAAGTAAACACAAACGGCGTTGGTTTGTGCACAGTCGCTAGGGACTGTGGTTTGTGGTATGAATGTATTTTTGTATCATAATTTTTGAAGTCAGTATTACTGAAAATTATGGTTTATTATTTTAAATGAATGCCAAATTTCGGTGGTCCATATTGATCTTAATGTAGCGGGAAGGGAAATTTTCTTTTTTTTTCTTGATTTTTCAATAACTGATAAAACGGTTACTTTGTGCCTTGATTCATCATCCCAGCTTTTCGAAATTTCGGAAAGACCAGCACTCAAGCGCTAACACTACTATCGTTTCGTTAATATTTGCATAATGTTTATAACATGTATACAAAAAAAATGTATGTACACTACTAACTGGTAATACTCTGTTGTTGACGATTCTGATAGAACGAGTGACAAGCTTCCTGTCGCAAACAATGCATATTAATCTAACGTCCATTGTCAGCATTATTATCAGTCAAGAGTTCGTCTAAGAAATCATTTTATTTACTAAGTCTGTATTCTATTTTAATAACACCATCTTACTAACGCAATGACGATGAAAGGAAAGAAAGCAAAGACGCCAATGACAGACGAGGCAAAGAAAAATCTGCAACTGAGGGTCATATTTACTAATTTAGACTTGCCTGCAGCCTATTGTGCAGCCTTTTCGACCAACCAACCAATGGGAATCGTGCTCTTCGCGGAGTGACACTGCGACCCTGTCGCAGAGTGCAATAATCGACATTCGGCGAGTCGCACAATCACGTCGCAGAGTTAGTTTTTAGACCCCAATACATACCTCAAGTCAGCTATTCTTGTTGCCTCATACTGCCCCAAGCTTAGTCTTCAAACAAATGTTATTTAGAGGAGACTATCCTGCTGCTGCAGTGCTTATAGCCACTCTCATCTACTATTCAGATATCATTACATTTGATGGAAAGGATCCTTCAGTATTTTGGCCCCTTTCCCTAAATAATACTAAATAAATCCTATGGGAATACTGAATAAATCCTATAGGAATACAAAAGAAGTCATATAGGAATACTAAAGAAATTATATAGGAATACTAAATAAATTCTATAGAAATACAAAAATAATTCTGTAGGAATATTAAAGAAACCATATAGAAATACTGAAGAAATCATATAGGAATAAAGAAATCCTATAGAAATAAAGAAATCCTATAGAAATAATAAAGAAATTATATTGGAATAATTTTCAATTTATTCAGAAGATATAGGTGCACTCAAATTTTAGTTTGTGTCTGTCATTGGTCACAGAACTAAACCTGATGGCTTTGAATAACAACTGCATTTCAACTGTACTTTTGTTAAATTCCAATAAGATTCTTATAAGTACATTGTACTATACTCATGAGTAATACCATGGAGTATGTCTGACTAGATTTGTCGCATTGACTGTCATTTTGTTTAAAATCCTAAATACCATTTTGTAATTGTGTCTGGGATCATTTCTCAAAGATGAATTGGTTTTTGTATCAGGATCATACCTATTGGGTTATATATCATTTTAACAACTGTTTCTTCGAGATGGCTTGCATGATTTCATTCAAACTCAGTACAATGATTCTACATACAAAAAAACAAAACAAAAAAATGTATTAGGTGTTAATTGCCCTCCTTCCCTGACAAAGGCGTGTCGCGGGTATGGACAAAGCATTGTCACATGATCAGTACACAGCCGATCACTATTTTTGAAATCGTCATTGCTGTGTGTTTTTTTTACAACTTAGTTGTTTATTACAGAATTCAAGCTTTTTCACATAATTTTTTATCTCTGTATAAGGTCATATTTTAGCCGGCAAGTAGTTCATTAATTCATCTATTTTACCAGCAGTGGCACATTTTCGCAACAAATTTTCATACCTTTACCCAAAATGTTTTCGTGTTTGATTTTGGGACGCTAAACCAATATTTGTCTTTGATTTTGACATTTTATGGTCGAAACATATCACAAACAATTGTTGAACTGATTTTTTATTTGTCACACTGCATTTTATTATCATTTACAAACATTGAAGCATTGTTTATACTTTTACATCGAATAAAGTCAATAGTTGTTGTATAGTTGACTTGAACTGTTATGAAAACCCAAGAATCAGAAATATAGGTTTTTTGATCGACCATGTTAACATGAACAACACCATTTTGACAAGATCTGTTTAGCGATGTTAGTATGTTGGTACGCGATGTTTTTTCCCTATTAAAACTAGAAGATGAACATAATTCTCGATATTAATCTTTACATGGCAGGAACTGAATGTTTATGAGTTGGTACATGTAGGCTGCTTTTGATACATATCGGGGTTCAAAAATCCCAAATTTCATAGTGCTAATTTTGTTTACATGTTTGTTTACGTTGTAGTTGCCCGAATTTGAGGTCAAAGTCATACAATGAGGTATTGCTTTGCACAACCGTAAATTTGCCGATTTTAATGAATATTCTGACAGTATTGTACTAGACTAGTACTATAATCTGTCTGACTTCCTGAATCCCTTGGCCCGGGTATGAATGGTTTGTTCATCCGCAACGTGCGGTTCAAGACAAAAGAACGCTAGTCGTTTCCAGACCGGGGATAGAGGGACTTTGGTTGCATATTACATTTTTCAGTGATTCAACAAATCAGCTGACTACAGTACATTGCCAGCAACAACTGACAGCATCACAGTTATATTTAGCTGAATGTACACCCGGATTTAGCATTCTCAGTACTTGTATTTTATTGAGTCATTTGTCTGTGGTTCCTATGGTAACAAGGTTATAAAGTACTGTAATTATTCTAACTGTAAGCTATTAATTAGCCTCTAATGGCAGATCTGAGTTATCATCATCTATGACTATTTGCTTCATAGTTAAATTTCAGTGGTAGATCTTGACAGTGTCTGTCAAGTCCAGGGATTTTTTTAAGCAAGGGGACAGGGGCGCAGCACCCTCATGCCATGGCCATGCACCCCTTACCCTGGGGAGCAGATCCTCTGGCAACCATAAAATTCTGATTGACCAGGGATCACATGTGGCCACAGTCTTCAACTGTGACCTGTCTGATAGTAATTTTGGCCCCAAGGAAGCCATAAAATGCTGCATTTATCAAAAACTCCACACCCTGGTAGGGAGAACCCAATCTCCCCCACTTGGTGGCGCCGCTGAATTGCAGTGCTCTCTCTTACAGTTTTTCTTCTAGAAAAAACCCTGAAATATATTTTTAATGTATATTTTTGGCACTCATGTATTAAAGTGTGTTCCAAATTGCAGTTGATCTAAGGACAAAAGAGTACAGTACTTTCTAAGATTAGTCCTTGCTTCTAATTTCAATATTGTGAGATGATGACCTCTAGTGATACTTGCTTCCATTAATGGAATTAAATTAGCTACTTCGGGATCATACTTATTTGTCAAGATCATTTACATTTCAATCATATCGCCCGAAGCCTTCAGAAGGCCAATGTTGGTAAATTTAATTTCTATTTGCAAAACCTGGTAAAAGCTTTGTGGCCCTTTGTTAAACATTTTCTAAAGCATTAATACGTTTTTTAAGGTGTGGAAACCAAATATGATTAGCATATTCAATATGGGGTCGAGCCAATGACACTAGAGACGAGCATACAAAAAGAATCAATATCCAAATACTCATAATTTCGTTTAATAATAATACCTAGTATTTGATTAGCTTTGTTGATTTTCTCATTCATATGCATCTCAAAATACAATTTCTGGTCTACAATTACCCCTATATCCTTCTCATGGCTACAATGTTTAAGAATATATATTTATATCATACATGTATCTCAAAATACAGGTACTTATAGTGAAAAAATATTAAGTAGTTATAAAGTGAGTTCTTATGGTTGTACCGAATTTTTAGGAAATTCCGACAAATACTACCGAGTATGGTAGAATGCTTTAGCACGAGTCCCCATGGAAATGCCTCTGCCCTCTGCACTTGTCAATTACAGCAGAGCTCTACTGAATGCAAGTTTGCTTGTTTATTCTTCTTAATTGCAATCCTTTTCATCCTTAATTTCTGCAAATGAATCCAAATACAAACAGAAACAATGTCATTGACAATGACTTACTTTCCTGATTATTCATATATATATTTCATGCAAGATTATAATGGTTTACAGTATAACCAAAGTTGTACATTTTCACTATTTTAAAATTTTTATTTGTATCTTATTTCAGATAAGAAGAAAATGAAGCCAGCCACACTTCCTAGAGGGCAAAGACCAGCACTACCTCCCAAACCTCAATTCCCTCTCATAGAGGGACTTAAAGTAAAGGATATCTGCCATACTGGTGATGCTGTTAGTGAGTGTCATGGTAACAGCTCAGTCATTGAACCATCTAGAAATCTGACCAGTACCATAGCGGAGCCTACCATAGCTTTGCATGATACTCAAATAACCAAAGTGCCTCCAAAACCTCCAGTTAAACCAAGGCGTACATGTGAAAAACGAGAAAAAATACAGGCTAGACTTTCTTACGGCTCTGTTGAAGATTGTAATCATACTCATGATGAAACATCGGCAGATACGTTAAATGAAAATTCAGATGCATGGAAAAATGACAGTACCCCATCTAGTTGGTTTATTCAAAAGATTCACAGGCAAACCCTTGATAAAGATGAATGTAAGAAAACTGACTCTACTTCTCATAGTTCTTTGATTCGCCCATCACCAACACCAAGAAGTTTTTACAACAAGCCAAATGCTGAAGACCATAATACTGGCAGTTCTCATGATGTAGTTGGCAAACCAGAAAAGACAGATGCTACTGTTCCTGCAAAGCCGGCAAGAAAAGGAAAAAAACACAAACATGGCAAAAAAGATACAGAAAGTGGTGGTAGTGTTGTGGTGATACAAAAGGTAGAAGAAGGTCATGTTGCTGTACTTGGTGTACTACCATTGAATAGCCCTGAAGAAGATGTGGAAAATGATTCAAAAAACAATAGCAAGACTGAAGTCATAGAAAGCCGGAAGAAGAGTACACCTCCACGTCCCCCGCCTCCATCTATAGGCCCAAAACCTAAACCTAGACTGTCTTTGAATAAAAAAGAAGTTCAAAACGTTGCTAAGGAAGGCCAAGAAAAGAAAACTGGTGTTGCTTTGAAGCCTATTGAGGAAAAACAAGACCAAGATAAGAAAACTGGAGTTGCTTTGAAATCCATTAAGGCTAGCACAGACCAGCAAGTCAGATCTATTGAGAGTTTGAAATCTGACGAAGAAAAGGAAAGTAAGGAAGTGAAAGACTTTGATCACTTAGAATCTGATAAAGAAAAGGAACAGTCAGAGCAAACCGTTCATCTGAAAGTTGCTGACCCCAAATCTGGGAGAAAAATGGGAGAATCAGAAATTAAAAAGAAGTCAACAAAAAAAGCGCCTCCCACTCCATCTAGGTCTGATTCATTGACAAAATATATTGAGAATAAAGTGAAAAGTGGTGATATTACAGCTGTACACTCTAAAAAGGAAGAGTTGTCTTCCAGCCATAAAGAAGATGTATCTGATCAACCCAGTGGTAGAGTGAGACCTGCTCGACCAGCACCCCCAGTATTGCCCAAATTGAAATCACCAATTACCTCAGATAGAAGAAACTCTAACGAGCTGAAACCTGCGAAGGTGAAACCCCCAAGACCTGCCCCACCTAGACCACCATCAATGAAAGTGTCAGTTAGGGAGCACAGCATAGAAACTACAACAGACTCGAAAATTGTTGTTTCAACTCAATCGGAAGATAAAACAGAACAGCCTACCAGTGATAGTGTCTCAGCTGGAGTTAAAACAAAT